TCCTTGTGGGAACAGACTCCCTCTTCTTCCTTCTGTGGGGTATCTGGTGGGTTTGAACTGCCAGCCTTTTGGTTAGCAGTCAAACACTTACTCTAAGGCACCACCTGGGCTCCCTAACTGGTCAACAGGAGGGGATGAAGACTCAGCCTCCACACCCAATGACCCCCAGCTCCAGGTTTCCGATGAAGGACAGGCCTGGATGCAGCTCCCTCTGCCCAGCTCTGTGGCCTGCTCTCGCACTAACCAATCAAGTGAACGCCTCCAGCCAGCACATTGACCTGTGACAATCCTTGTGGGTATAGCTTTGTGCCTATCTCAGTGATGGTCCAACTGTCTGTCTTCCTCAGTCACTCCACTCACTCAATGGCCTTGGAGTCTTGTCCCATTTTGCTGTTGTTCTGCCTCAGCGCCCAGCATTGTCTGCAACATGGTACCCAATGTTCTCCAACTCACAGAGACCCTGTGTTGGGTTTCTGAGGCTGTAAATCTTTACCAGAGGAGACTGTCCAGCTTTCTCCTGCAGAGTAGCTGGTGGAGTTGAACCGCTGACCTTTTATTTAGCCTTGCGGCACATAACACACTATTCCATTGAGGTTCCTGCAACATAGTAGGTCTTCAAGAAATACTTAAGGAGCTCTGGTGGTGTAGCCCCCAGCATGCTACTAAACCGATGGCTACACTTTACCAGCAGTTTGAATCCACCAGCTGCTACTCGGGAGAAAGAGAAACAGACTCTTCTCCTGAAGAGTTACAGCCTCGGAAACTCTACCAAGGGTTACTACGAGCCAGCATCAGCCTGATGGCAGAGAGGTTTTTTTGGGTAAAAAATTTTGCCTATTAATAAATTAATGAAATGAAGGAGCTGTCCAAAAGTACATGAACTGCAACAGATTAAAGAACTACCTGTCTAGAGAGTAGGACAAGAGACAGAAACCAGCTCACATTCACACTCTCACTTGTTGCTCCCCCCCCCCCCCCCCCCGAGATTTCAACCTTCAATGTGTGTGGATCACAGCTTGGGAGGATACCAACACTGAAACAGAAAGAGACTCCAAACCCTAACCTGCAGCCATCCAGTCAATTCCACCTGATACTGACGCCACAGGACAGAGTAGAGCTGCCCTGCAGGGTTCCATGCTGTAAATCTTTGTGGAGGCAGGTGGTGTGTAAAAACTGCTCACTTAGCAGCTGAGAGTGTAATCACTGCTGTCAAGGCTCCTTAACTAACAGAACTGATCCGCCAGCAGGTTTCAGAGGCAGCCAGTTGCATGGGAGGAGAATGCTCATCTTCCTCTCAAGGATCAGCTGATGGATTAAAACAGTGAGCCTCTGAGCTGGCAGGACAACTCTTTACCATTAAACTACCAGAGTTCCCAAAGTGACATGATAGCCTGGACTCTGATGAATACTGACCCTAAAAAAACAAAGCAGAACTGCCCCATAAGGTTTCCAAGGTTGTAAATCTTTCTGGAAGCAAACTGCCTCCTCTTTCTCCCCTGGAGTGGCTAGTGGGTTTGACCCGCTAAAATGATTAGTTCGCAGGCAGGAAATTAACCATGGAGCAACCAGTCTTCACTGATACTCTAAATCTCAAACTCTGCTCACTGGGTTCCCGGGGCTGTAAAGCACAGAAGCCTTCCCATCTACCTCCTGTGAGCAGCTGGTAGATTTGAATCGCTGGAAATGTGCAGCCTTTGGGTCAGCAGCACAACTCACTACAGACTAGGCCACGAGAGCTGTCAAATGTGTCAGAGGGCCACCTCTAAGGCAGGAATCACTGATCACTGCTCAGCATTAGAAACATGTAACTAGAACAGAGGTAGTGGGTCACTCTGTGAGGCTAAGTATTAGTCTCTGAGACTGGGGCTGTGGCACACCTGTTGACATTAATGATTCTCCTGTGGTGGTGGGCAGGGGGTCTGGGGTCACTGTGAGAGTGCACATGGAGGATGGCACAGATTTAGGAACAGGCCAAGGGGTCAGGAAGCCAAGAAGAACCTTGTGATCAGGCCCGCCCTCAGCCCTCTGTGGGCTAGGGGCTCTGGTCCCACTTCAAAAAGGTCCTGAGAAGGGAGTGAGTTTTAGACTGAAGGGTTGGCACTGGAATCCTTGCCACAAATCTTGGAAAGGTTTCTGCAGGATTTTTCTAGCAGGTGTATCACCAATGTCCATGCTTCCTCACTCCTTTCCCTGCTTCATGAACCCAGAGTAGCAGGAGCAGCAGCATGATCTGGAACTTCGAGAAAAATGCAAATTCTCAGACCTCACCCCTGACAGACTGAATCTGAAACCCCAGGTGGGACCAATCTTGTCTTTAACGAGGCTTCCTAGGAACTATTTAAGAATCACTAGACTATAGGAAAGGGAGCTCTGGTGGCCAAGTGGTAAGAAATTATGCGGCAAACTCCCAAGATGCACAGTTCAAATCCAGCAGATCCTCCGTGAGAGAATGTACAATCACCTCCTAAGTGATTTTAGCCTCTAAAAACCCATTGGGGAGTTAGCTAGGAGTCAGTTCTGAGTCCACAGTCCACAGGCCACAACAACAACATGCCAGAGAAGGTTGCCTGCTGGCACAGCAGGCCATGTGTGGGGCTGCTGACTGAAAGTTCTGCAGTCTGAATCCACCTTCTGGACCACATGAAAAAGGTAGATTTACAGCCCTAGAAACCTGATCGGAGGTCGGAGGTGACTGGACAGTAATGCTAGGGGGAGAATACTACAGAGGACCAAAGGCTACACTTAGATTTCCCAGACTTCCTAGCAGTGACAGGCCTGCTGAAAGATGTGGGTAAGCATTTGCATTTTCCAGCAGAGAGGGAGTGGTTACAGGTGTTGCGACTTTCACTGTGCTCTATGCCCTCTTTAGAAGCAGAACAGCCACCCTGACATAAGATGTCAGGATGAGGGAGCAAGAAGACAGAGAGCACCAGTGCTTGAGGTGCTCTGCAGTCCAATGGGTTTTTCCTCACATATGCCCTTTCTGGCCCTGGGTTTATAGTTCTGCCAAGGTGATCTGCTAGGTCCAAATAAGGTACACAGAACCCTTAAAGAGATTGGACAGTAGCTATGCAAAGTAAGTGACTGCTACCCACCGAGGAGACTGGTCAGGTATGCCATCCCGTTAGGCTTATAGAGCTAATTCCGGGGGAGGGGGGGTTGATTGCTGTCACTAATGCCAAAAGGAATCTGGAGTGAAGGGACCCAAGCTACAGGGCTGAAAGCCTCCTAGACACAGAACAGAGAGGAAAAGAGAGAGTGAGCTAACACTGAGGAAGGCATGAGAGGGTGGGAGGGTGGTTCCAGGAGATGGTGCTAGACAAGCATGGTGGGATTCTCAGCCCACAGCCAAGAGTGTCAAGAGAGGCAAGTGCCTTCGGGCAGACTTGCTGGCAGAGTAGGGGGCCTTCTAGACACTTGTTAGTAAAGCTGTAACATTTGCCTGAATGGTGGCAGATGCCAGGGCAAGGGGGTGCCTGGCAATGGAGGTCTTTGGGCCGAGAGGTTCTGCCTTTTGGTAGGCACAGCTAATAAGGTGCTAGCTTAGAGCTGTCTGGGTTGAAATCTGTCTTGATTGATCAATTGCGTCCTGTTTCCCGAGTTATTGCTGTTTCTTCCAAGATGATTCTAATCCTCAACTATAACCTGTTATGTCCTTAATAGGGAGGTCTATTTGTCTAGTGGGTAAGGAGTTATCCTGTCAACACAAAGGTACCAGGTTTGAATCCAGCAGGATTTCTGAGGGAGAAAGATGGGCAGTCTCTTCTAGTGCAATTTACAGTCTCTAAAAACCTGCTGTTGGGTTAGCTGTGGGTCAGTTCTGACTTGATGGCATATAATAACATTTGCCTAATAAATCCCATAATGAAAAGCACTCCACAAGTTCTGTGTGTCCACTACAAGGTATTATTGAACCTGGCAGAGGAGAATGCTGTGGGAGGATGGCTGGTTGTCAAAACTGGTGTGTCAGGGGAGCTCTGGTGGCCTAGTGGCAAGAAGCTGCACTGCAATCCCAGAGGCGCATGGTTCGAATCCACCAGATGCTCTGCCGAGGAAGGAGGGACAATCTCCTCCTGTATCAGTCAGATCTGACTTGACGGTACACGCACACACACAAATCATAAAATAAAAAAAAACACAAAAAAACAACAAACCCCTGGTGTGTCTGCGTCACAGGAACCAGCTTTTGGCACATGGCATGATCTCTCTTCTCTCTTTCTCTCCATGAAGTCAGGATCTTCTGACTTCACCAACTTACCTTCTCCCTGAGCTGCTGCCCCATCTGCTCTAGCTCTCTCTGCTCTTTAATGCTCCTTGGGTAAGGCCCCTGAAGTGAGCTCTGGTGCTGTGGTCCTTAGGGAGATGACTGCTAGGCCAAAGGCCATGCTTTCCACTGGTCTGAATCCAACAGTGGCTCTAGAGGAGAAAGACGAGCAATCTCCTTCTGTGGGATTTACAGCCTCAGAGACTCTCTGAAGGGTTTCCAGAGTGAGAGCTAAGCCACTGTGGGCCAGGATTTCTATTTTATCCACCCAAATTCCCACCTAAGAGATAAGAGTCTGCCCTGAGAAAGCATAAAAACCACCAGTCTGATAATTGTAAAAGCCAAACAAAATTAAAAACAAACAAACAAACAAACAAACAAACTGAAAAAAACAACCCCACCATGTAAAAATATGATGAATGATTATAAAAAAAACAGAACAAAAGTAAAACTACTGGTCTGACTGGAGAGAGAAGGAAAAATCGATAAAGGGTCAGAGAGAGAGAGAGACAGAGACAGAGAAGACAGAGACGGCCGAAGCTCTCTCTCCTACAACCTGGAGTCTTTGAAGGAGCTTGGAGGGATAGCAGGGAGGTTGTCTGTGAGCAAGGTTGTCTCTTCCTGTCAGCAAACCAGTGCGCATGCGCGTCTGCATCATGTTTCTGGGAGGAACTCCACAGTCAGGACTGGAAGGTAGCCAGACCCCCTGAATCTAGAGCTGGTGCAGCTGACTTACCTGGGCTGCCTCGGTGGGTCCCGGCTGCCCCCAGCTAGGCCCGTGGGAGTGCTGGAGGCTGAGGAGTACAGTTTTGGTCGGTAGCCCTTGTTCTGGCCAGCCACCGCTGGGGTGGGTGAGACTTCCCGTCTTCTCTCTGCGTGGTGGGACCTCCCGCTGGCCTCACGGCCCCCACCACAGAGCCCTAAACTTCCTGGGGGCTTGTGTGGCTTGTTAGTCCGAGGTGCCTTGGCCAGGGACATGCAGCTGGGGCTGGAGGTGTAGAGGGTAGTGTCGATGCCGCTGTCACTCGAGCCGCCTTTGGAGAGGGGGTCTTGCTCTGGCTCCAGGGGGTCTAGGGGGTCAAACCAACGATCATCGCTGTGGCTGCTGGATGTGTTGCTGGAAAGAGTATTGCTGCTGGAATGACTGGAGTACTGAGGCTCTCCCTAAGAAGGCAAGAGATGTGCATTAGCCCTAGACCCATGAGACGCTGGGGGCACCATGTCCTCCCTGCACTGTCCTTCTACCTGTGTGTGAACCCTGGAGCCAGAGAGCTTCAAATGTCGCCTTCCCCATATACTGGCTGTGTGACCAGAGGCTTAACTTCTCTGTGTCTTAATGTCTATAAAAGGCAGGGGGGAGAGGACAGGGGTATGGGCCCTGTTTGGTGGGGTTGTTGGGAGGAATCAAAGAGGTCATGTTTTAAGAGGCTTTTCACATCCCATTTTCCCTTCTCTCCCAAATCTGTTACTCCTGACTCTTCTTCATATCAATTCTTCAAATCTCTTCCTCCTGCCAGCTTCCTTCACAACTTCTTCCTCCTAGGTGCCCCACCAGAGCCTGCAAGTCACCCTGGACCTTGCTTTGGTTCCCAGTCAGAAAGCTTTGTTGGCTCTGTTCTCACAACTTTCCACTCCATTGCTCTATCTGGGCCTGTCCACTGTTGCCTGCTCCTGCCTTCCCCCCTCCACCGAGGGAAACTGTGAGCCCAAGTCAGAATATGCCTCTCGCCTGCTAAGAACCTTGTGCAGTTCCATCTCACTCAGGATTACAGTAAGAGTCCTCACTGGGACCCAAGGAAGAACCCCAGGATCTGGTCTCTAACTCCATCTCTTCCCGCCTCCTTTTTGAGCACGTCACTCCAGCCATAGTGGCCCAGTTCGGTGAGTCTACTGGGCATGGCATACCTTAGGATCCTTGCACATGCTATTCCCTCTGGCTGTAACATTCTTCCCTCAAATATTTTCATGAATATGCCCTCACATTATTTAGTTTTGGTTTAAATGTTGCTTCCTCACAGGACTTCTCCACATCTTAAACCAACAGTGCTCCGTCTCCTTTTCCCTTAAATCAGGTATTGTTTTTTCTCTCCCACAGCAAGGATCCATTTTTGCTGTAATACAATGCATCTGTTTATTGCTTCTTGCCTTCACTGGATGTTAATTTTGTGAGGCAGAGACTCATCTAATCCTTGTCAAAACACTTCGTGCTCATTTCCTAGATTTCCTTGTTGGGGAAGGGAATCAGGTGTGGCCATTTGAGAGTATCCTGGTCAACACAAGGCAAGTGGGAAGATGCAAGGACCCAGCCGAGGGCTCTGAGGTGCTGAGGACCGTAGGGGCATAGGAGGGCAAGCTCTTGAGTTCGTTCCTAAACCCTTGTTCAGAAGGCTGTTTATTAAATATTCATATTCTTTTAATACATCAGCAGGAACAAACTTCTATGGGACTGGCTCCAGATGCTAGGGTTGGAACACGGTGAAGATAGTTGGTGAGGGCTGCTCGACTTCCAGAATCAAGCATTCAGCCCTTCTGCTTGAGTCAAAGATGTCTCATCCATGGGCGTTTAGGGGCTCACACCCAGGCCAAATAGCCCAGCCCCCAGTGCAGTCAGGGTGGCAGAGGGGCTGGTGGGGCCAAACTCACTCTGGAATGCCTGTTTGGGGAATCTTTGCCTGCTGTGTCCTGCCTGGAGCTGTGCTTGCTGCTGCTGCTTCCAGTCACGGCTGAGAGTCGGGCCTGCGCAGGCACATGCCACAGAGGCTCTGCAGGAAGAGAAGAGACACACGAGCCATTAGAGGTGATGCAGGCTGGCTCGAGGCCACTGACAACGCTGATCCTAAATTCAGTCTGATAGTTCCATACATCCCAGCCTGCCTGCTCAGCTCACACTAGGCCATGGCCTCGCCTCTACAGTTAAGACATCTTGGGGTCTAACAACATGAAGAATAAGGTATGTGCCCGGCACCATTCTTTGTGCTTTATAGGTTAATTCACTTAAGTCTTACAGCTCTACTCCAACCTCATCTCCAAATGAAGCGAAACATTTTTATACTTATTGACCATTTGGATTTTCCTGTTTGTAAATTGTTGTTGTATACCAATAAGTCAGAACTGACCCTCCAGTGGGTTTTCAGAGGCCGTTAATCACATGAAAGGAGACTGCCCATCCTTTTTCCTCAGAGCAGCTGGCAGCCTAGAACCATGTACCTTTGTTACATGTACATTGTACATTGTACAATCGTAGCATAACTGCTTGCCTCTAGGTCACAGGAGCTCCCACCTACCCCCTCCAAGGGAAGCCTGTCTTTTACAGAACTGGTTATCAGTTATAAGAATAAGTAACTTTTCTTTTAAAGAAAAATGAAATAATCAATTAGGATCAAAACGACAACATGTGCCAAGGAATAAAGCTCGGGAGACAGGAAGGGACAAGAAGGATGAATGGAAATGGGAAACAGAAAGAAGTGGGTCAAGTGCTGTTACAATGTGGGAACTGTAACTGATGTCACAAAACTGACAGTGAACGGAACTTTCATGCAAATCACAATTGCTTGTTGTTATATGCCATCGAGTTGCCTGCGACTCCTAGCGACCCTATGTACAACAGCCCTAAACTCTGCCGTATCCTGTGCCAATCTCACTGTCTCTGACACATCTACCCCCATTACCCCAGCCACTGAATCAACCCACCTCATAGAGGGTCTTCTTCTCTTGCGCTGTCCCTCCACCCTCCCAAACATGATGTCCCTCTCCAAGGACTGGCGCGCCCCTTCTTGCAACACGTCCAAAGTATGTCAGACGAAGCATCAGAATCCTTGCCTCCAAAGAGCAGCCTGGTCTTTCTCTAAGATGAACCTGTTTGTTCTCTTAGCAGTCCATAGAATATTCAGTACTCTTCTCTAGCACCAGAGCTCAAAGGCATCAATTCTCCTTCTATCATCCCTAGTAACTGTCAAGCTCTATCATCCCTAGTAATTGTCAAGCTCTATACAGAGTCATTGTACCAAATGGAGTTGGTGGACACAGAAGAATTTAATGAAACAATGTGGTGATGAAGGAGGAAATTCAAGCTGCTTTGAAAGAATTGGCAAAAACTAACAGATGCTGCCCTAGATGTGCTCACCAAATTGTGCCAAAAAATCTAGAGGACAACTGGCCAACTGACTGGAAGAGATCTATATTTGTTCCCATTCCAAAGAAAGGTGATCCGAGAGTATGTGGAAATTATCTAATAGTATCATTTTTTTTTTAATGCGTGTACCGTCAAATTGGATCTGGTACCGTCAAATTGGATCTGACTGGTACAGGAGGCGACTGTTCCTCCTTCTTCAGCAGAGCATCTGGTGGACTAATAGTATCATTGATATCACATGCAAGTAAGATTCTGCTGAAGATGATGCAAAAACGACTGGAACAGCACATCAACAGAGAACTGCAAATCACAATAAAATGTTAACAATTAAAAGCACTGATTTACAGTTTGATCTTTTTACTTTACAATGTATCACACTTACTGTTAGCTTGTTATCTTAATACTTTTCATACAATGGCACATAAGTTTGTATTTTTAATAGCTACGGACTATTCCATTGTATAAAATGTATTTATGGCCTGCTGGGCTGCAATCCTGAAGGCTGTGCTTCAAATCTGCCAGCTGTTCCTTGGGAGAAAGATGGACAACCTTCTCTCATGTGATTAACAGCTTCTGAAAACCTGCCAGATGTTCAGCTACGGATTGGTTCTGCCTCGGTGATACAAAACAACACATGTACATTAATGTTCACCAAGCCAGTTTATCTTTGTTGAAAGTGCAGGGTATTTTGAATTTTACCTCACTACAGCATTACTGAGGTCTTCCACTATAATATGTCTGGGTCCAGGTTCTAGAAGTGTAATTGCTGGTTTAAAGGTGAAAAAGGTTTAAAACTAGTGACTGGTGTGGATATGAATCTAAACTTTCAAGGTCAGTCCTGTGCCTGAGTGAGCATCTCACTTTTAAAAATATCTGAACTCCACAGGAGCTCTGGTAGCCTAGTAAACAGAGGGTTGTGCGGCCAACCCAAAAGAAGACAGTTCAAATTCACCAGCAGCTCTACAGGTGAAATATGGGCAATCTCCTCTCATGTAATTAAAAAAAAAATTGAACACCAACAAAGGGCATTTAGACAATGTTAAAATTATAAATGATGCCCATCAACAAACGAATGGATAGAGAAGCTGTGGTATATTCACATGGAATATTATGCTGCATTGAAAATCAAAGAACTCATGAAATTTTATACAAAATGGGTGACCATGGAGGACATTGTAATGAGTGAAATGTATCAGTCACAAAAAGACAAATACTGTACAATGCCACTGTTATAGAATAGGACTGATATGGGGGTTGGGAGGAAACTAAAAAAAAGAGGGGACAATATACACGGCATTGACGAGGGAGAGAACTGTGTAAAAGGAACATATGGTTAGGTATTATCGGCATGACAAGAGTCCAGAATAAGAGGTGCATAGTATAGTGGTGGTGGTGGTGGGGTGAGGAATGACTGTGTAACAACGAAAGAACTTTTCCCCCCAAAGAACAAAGCGAACTGGGGGGAAGGGAGAACAGCGAGGAAAATGTGTAACAATGAATGAATGGAAATTTAAAAAAAGAGAGGGAAAAAGTTATAAATAAATGCAACTGAGGATCTGAACCTGAGTGGGTCTAACTCAGAACTTAAACTTATCATCATTACTGTGTATTTTTATTATTATGAATATGATGATTATTAATCTTGTGTTCTTCAAAGGTAACATTCTAAAATGAAAGGTCTATGAATGAAAAAGTCTATGAAAAATCAATATAATATTTAAACTGTTACAAATTTTTTTTTAATAAAATCATGTGTTCCGTGTCAGGTACTAACATGTATGCATCCTATACATGCATCACTCACCATCTTGTATCTTCCCAATAACAGTGTGTGTGTGTGTGTGCGCGCATGTGTGTATGAAAGATATTATCATTTCTAGAAGATGAGGATGAATATCAAGACTCACAGAAGTAACTTTTTCACAGTCAGAAAGAGCCAAGCACGGTACTCAAGTCCGTAGGCATCACAGCCTGTGCTCACTGGTAACCAAGAAAGGTATAGTAAGTCTGTGGTGATGATGGACCAGGTAGGTATGGTCTTACTGGACCCCCAATTCACTTTGGAAGGAGAGGTGCTGAAAACGTCCATTCACAGAGATGAGTCACCACCTGGAGTCGGGTGCTCAGCACAAGGCAGACCCAGAAATGAAAATCAGGCCACTCAGAGTCTGAGCTCAGGACCTGACACTGTTGTCTTCAGTCCAACTCAAATCTCTGCAGGGGATGGCTCTCAGGGCCCTTGGCTGTACCCAAGGTGTTGCTCTGAGTGTGTCTTTCACCAGGGAACCATGGAAACAAGAAAGCTGGAGCCCTGGCTGCTGTGTGCATGTACTCTACCTCTGTAGATGGTTTTCCTTTTTGGAGAATACTGCATATCTAGGAGATGCTGGTCCTCGAAGGAGACAGCCACACTGTGCTGGGAAAACCTATTTCTACACAGAGAACCAGGGTCCTGGTCATCACATCCAGCCCTGTGGCTTATACTACTTTTAATCCTTAGGTCTTCATCCTTTCTGTCTCTAGCCTGGGCCTCCCACTTCCACAAATTTCTTTTATTCCAGTGAGATGGACCAACTTCTTCAGTGAATTATGGGTGGGCCTGGATACTTCTCTCTTCTCTCCCCCAGCCCCCCATTAGTAACTTGATGAATGAGTGCAAAGATGAAGGGCTGGATTCCTTTCCCTTCTGGGCTCCCCTGTGTCCCCTTGTCCCTGGCTCTGCTGTCACATGTCCTGATACTTCTGTGTGGGCTCTTCATCAAATTTCTGGATTGGCCCTCAGTGACCTCCCTTCTAGCTCTGTTGCCTGGTGGTAAAATGTACTGAAATGGTGAGTTTGGGGTTTGTGGGGAGTGCCTGTGGGCAGCAGGGGCTAAGGTGAAACAGGCATTGATTTAAAGCCCAACTGTGACTTAATCAGCAGGGACCCCGGACAAGCGATTGAACCTTTCTGTGCTTCACCTTCCTCCTTTCTCAAACAGAGCAACTGTGATGCCTGCTCCACTGTGTTTCCGAGATGATGAACTAGAAAGGCAGGCAGAGTACCTAGTTCCTGACACATACAAGCATGTAAACCTACTATTGTTATGAGGATTATTATCATGATCAAGGCTGGGCAAACTTCTGACTAGACTCCCCATACTCCTTACCAGTGGACTTTCTTTGGGGTTTTGAACACATGAGCATTTCAAATCACCAGTTACCCTCGTGTGTATAATTGTGTATTTGTGTGCATGCAAATGTGTGTGTGGTGCAGATGGAAAGGTTGTTGCTGTTGCTGTGTACCGTTGAGTTGGAACTGACCCATAGTAGAACCTCTAGTGGGTTTTCAGAGGCAGTAACTCTTACGGGAGGATATCATCCATCTTTCTTTCATGGAGCAGCTGATGGATTTGAACCGTGTACCTTATGGAAGGATGGGGTAGTCAATTTACAATAAGGGCCCTAGGAAAGGAACTATACTCTGGGGATCAGAAGAGAGGAGGCTAAGAAGAACAAGGGTGAGTTTCTGAGAAATCTTATTCAGGGTTCAAGGTGAATGATGGGAAAACTCTCATCATTATTTTACACTTGGATGTAATGAAATCACCAAGGAATGTTTTGTTTCTCCTCACATTTCTGAGCTAGATTTAAAAAAAAAACACCAAATCTGTCTTGAGCCAAGATCCTAGAACTGCAGGCAGCGACAGGCAGGACGAAGCACGCTCAAGAGAGCCGCCAGCCCTGCTTGCAGGTCCCCAGGCAGCAGCAAGGGCGCAGGAAAGGGGCGTGGCCAGCACGCTCAAGCCCAGCCTGTGGTTGACAGAAATGTGGGATTTGGGTGGTGGGGTCTGCTACCTCTTCGCACTTTGAGAATGCCTGGGGGTCATGGCCACTCCTATTGTGGAAGATAAGGGACAGGGTCACCCCTCCAGCTGCCTAGAAACCTTTATAAACGGCCCTTAATGTCAGTGCTTCCTAACACTTATATTTTCCCCCCTTTCTTCTGAATTCACCTACCCACTCACCCATCAATCCGGTGGTTCTCTTACTTAAAAGGGATTACAGAGATTTTACATGAAATCAGGTTTAAAAAATCCATCTCAATAGTACATTTGCATGATTTATGTATATATAGATCTAGTTACCTATATATATCTCTACATCTATCATGTGAATGAACATCAGTAGGTGCTTAGTCTCACCAATCATCAGGAAAAGGCAAATTAAACAGAGCAGCAGCCACCTCAGATCACCTCCTCACTGCTGGCCAGTTAGTTCTGATTCAGATGTAAATATTTACGAGAGATTGTTCATTTTTCTCTTTTGGAGCAGCTGGTAGATTTGAACAACTGACTTTTCAATGTGACTGCATCACTGACTACTGAATATATGGAACAACTGCAACTCTCAGATGCTGCTGGTTGGAGGGTCAAGGAATGCAACCACTTTGGGGGAAAGTGTGGCTGTTTCTTATCAAGTTAAACACACCTTATCACATGATGTAGCAATTCCACTCCTAGATATGTATCCTAGAAATGTGTGCATGTGCTTTCCCAAACAGGTATGTAAACGTTCCTGAGAAAACTATTCCAAGCAGCTCCAAAAGTGGAAATAACTCAATGTCCATCAACATTGTTGTTGTTTATGTGCCATCGAGTCGCTTGCGACTCATAGCGACCCTATGTACAACAGCCCTAAACTCTGCTCTGTCCTGTGCCAATCGCACTGTCTCCGACACACACATCCCGATTACCCCAGTCACTTAATCAACCCCCCCCATAGAGGGTCTTCCCCTCCTGTGCTGTCCCTCCACCCTCCCAAGCATGATGTCCTTCTCCTCACAACATGTCCAAAGTATGTTAGACGAAGCCTCAGAATCCTTGTCTCCAAGGAGCCTCCCAGTTTAACCCTTTCTAGGATGAATCTGTTTGGTTTCCTAGCAGTCTATTCACACCATGAAAAATACGCATTTCACTGTTACATAAAATCAGGTGGATTGGATGACTTTCACAAATAAAACACTGAGTAAGAGATTCCCCCCACCTTCCACCTGCCCCCAATCACACACAGTGGAATTTCACAGTCCTTATCCAGAGTGAAAAATCAAACCAGATAAAGGTATGTTATCTTGTCAAGAGTAAGGCAGGGGATACGGATTTGGCAGGGGGTACCAATTAGAAGGGACATGTGTGGGAACCTCCAGGGAGCTTGTCCACTTTTTGTCCCGGTTAAAGCATGAGTACTTTCATTTATGATCTGTTATCAAGCTGCACACTCTTGAGTTAGATGCCCATTAAAGTAAAAAAATAACTCCACTCACTGCTTTTGAGTCGATTCCAATCACAATGACCTGATAGGACAGAGTAGAACTGCCCCATCGGGTTTCTGAGGGTGTAAATCTTTATGGAAGCAGACTAGCACCTCTTCCTCTCACAGAGTGACTGCTGGGTTTGAAGCACCAACCACTGCTTAACCACTGCATCACCAAGGTTCCTAAACCAACCAATCAACCCATCAACCAACCCAAAACAAAGGACAGGTCTATAAGAAGAAAAGCCAGAGCATGCAGTCAGCTCTGGTCCCTGAGAGAGCAGCGTCTTTTCAGTTCTTTGTGGGGAGATAACATTCATGAGCAAGCAGGGTGTGCTGCTCCCAATGTCTCTGTGTCAGACACCAATGCCCAGACAGCTCGCCTGGCTGGGTAAGAATCAAGCTCACTCTCTGTTCCCAGTGCTCCCCTGGGTGACCTCTCTAACCTTACAAGTGGCTCTTACAGTTGCCCTTTGTGCTTTATGTGTCACTGACAGGTCTGAGCATGCGCCGCCATCAAGCAGGTAGTCCTGTGAGGCCAGGCGGCTAGGGAAGGCCCTACCTGGCTTCTGGCGCTCCATGGTGCTTTCCTGGCTGGTCAGGCCACCCGAGGAGGAGTCGCCGCTGGAGGTCCCATCATGGGGGAAGTGGGAATCCAAAGACAGCAATGGGTGGGAGGCGGCCGCATACCTGAAGGGAGTGAGGAGAAACAAGACAGGGTAAAGTGCTGTTGTTGCTTATGGCGGTCAGAATGGACCCACAGCTGACCCTCCAGCGGGATTTCAGAGGCAGATAATCTCATGGGAGGAGACTGCCCATCCTTCTCCTGCAGAGCAGCTAGTGGCCTCAAACTGTATGCCTTCGGGATTGCAGCACAGCTTCTTGGAACCCTGTTCACCAGGGAGTTTGAAATGCTTGGGAGGTTCTGCTGTGAAGGGCAAGAAAGCTGCTGGTAAATGGGTGAGTAAGTCAGAGAGCGTGCAATTAACTGGGGCCAGGAAACAAGGAAGCATGTGATCAGTGGTGGCAGAAAGCGATGGCAACAGTTGGTTTAATTGCTATTGGAAAATGCTTGTCACTCCTCTGTAGCATCCGGTCCCCACTGGATCCTCATCATTTCCTTCACCTGCTCCCCCCACCGACCAAACTGTGCAGCTCTGTAGCTGCATCCTGGCCCATCCTCACCCTTCTGCCCCCAACCCTCACCTCCTTGTACCCCCAATATGTTTTTCCCAATTGAAAAAAATAGAAAAGAAAAAGAAAGCGAGGGCAGGGCAGGTCACTACGGGAGGAGGGGACAGCCACTATGGTCTCCTATCCGCCAGCAGAGGTGGAACACACAGGTGACGACGTGAGATGGGATGAGCTGCTGTCAGTGTCACTCTTCCAGGCCTGTGGAAGGTTCTCTTTCTGTTCACCGGGAATATCATTTAATTGTTTCTGCATACACAATTTGTATACATTGTCTATCATTCATGGACACTGCATTTCATACATTCCTACATTCACATTGTGTGTCAAACACTCACTCAAGTACACTGGATTTATTAATCATCATTCATCTATGCTACTGTTACCCCATCTTTTCAGGCCTCCCCGGATCTTTCCGAACACCTTCATCTCCTCTCCAAGGGAGCACTTCTAAGCCTAGGAAATCTAGATGTGGGTGGTTGAGGTTCAAACCTCATCACTATCTCCTGGCCAGTGGGTGGTAGTAACTTCCCAGTTCCAAGCCTGTTTCCCTAGCTGTAAAAGGAGATCACAAGGGACCCTCCTTTCAGAATGAGTGAGTGATATCTTGTTTGTCCAGCATTCAGCCTGGGGCCAATGATGTTGAGCCATGACAGCTGGCCAACGTCAGGATGCCATGTTTCTGCTGGAGGAAGCTAGCACAGGGGAGAAGGTTTGGCCTTGGCTTTAGAGGGAGGCAGGAAGCTCTGAATTCAAACCCTAGTTTCAACCCTTACGAGCTGTGTGAATTTGGTCAGGTCAGTATACCTGTAGTTGAGTCAGTTTTCCCATCTGTAAAATGGGGACATTTTCTTCCTGACAGGCACAGGGAGAGGAGGAAATAAACTAACAGAGTTATCCCCCAGATAAGAGAGTCTCCTGCATAATCTGCTCTACTTAGAGCCAAGGGGGAAGATTTAAGGGGAAAAACACTCTGCTTTGAAGTCCATACGGAGTAGAGGTGAAAATTGGGACCCCTTTCCCTGACTATTCCAAGATCACTGTCAACTCAAAAGAGGGGCTGTCTATACAAATACCAAGCTCTATCCCTCCCCTCAAAACATTAATAAGTCAAGGACAAGAGAGAGGTGTGTAGGTGTGTGTGTGTGTGTGTGTGTGTGTGTGTGTGTGTGTGTGTGTGTGTGTGTCTGTTTGTTTATGTCAGTGGGTACTGGATAGTCTAGAAACTTGCTTCTACTCACCTGCCGATACCATACTGACTACTTCCCCAGATCTTAACTTCTAATGCCTTTGGAAGGGAAAGGGGTCACCAGAATTCAATAAAGAAACATAAGAAATGTATTATTAGTGCAAAAATGAATGAATTTTGTGCTGCCATCTCATTAAAAGTATTCATTTTTAAAAGTAGCATTAAATCAATAGTTGTGTCATCAAATAAATATAAAAATAAAATTAAGAAAGAAAGAAAGAAGGAAAGGAAAGGAAGGAAGGAAGGAAGGAAGGAAGGAAGGAAGGAAGGAA